GTTTTTTTGTAAAAATATGCAAAAAGTAGTAAAATCGCTCGGACAACTATGGTAATCCCATGTTAGTGATGTTATTGGATGCTCCACTCAAGCTGAATGCAGTTTTGTACCGGAATGTTTGGATTTTGGCAAAATCGATGACCGCACCCATAATCGACGTGAGTAATAAAAACTTATAATAGGAAAGAATGAAAAAAAAAAGAAAATAAAAGGAAAAGGAAGGTGAGAAATGAAAATTAGAAAATTTGTGAAATTATTATAAAGATAAGAAGTGTTTCAGTTCATTAAGTCGTATACATTTCTTACCATTACACCACAACTGGACCTTGTCAGTACAACGATTGTGGTAGCTGGAGTTAGTGAAAGTTGGGGTTATTAATTGTGTAATGAATATTAATAGTGAACAGAGTGTTGTGGAAGACAAGTAGTAATGCAAGTATTAATTCATGTCACACGCCAAAGGCAGCTATGCCAGGCTGTTCGATCTTAGCCCGCATACCTCGAGTATGTACCGCGGTGTGCGTGTGTGTGTGTGTGTGTGTGTTTGTGTGTGCTTTATCGCTTTGGGAATCGTTTGAGTTGGTCATTTGCGACGAAAATTTCCAATAAGAAATTCAAGTGGAAACGTGAGTCACGTAACAGACGTGGTGTAGCATTAAATCCATAATAAAAATAATTAAGAATTTATGGAAGATAAGGATTATGAAGGGGAAGATAGTAGGGCTGTTAATGTGGTACAAAGCGTATGACATGTTGAAGAGTAATGTAAAGAGGAATATATAAAAGTTGACCTGCCTATGTTTTATCCCTTAGCTTTAAACACAGACAGTATAAGGTGCGATTAGAGGTGGGAATCATACATTCATAAAATTAGCTATAGAAGTTAACTACGAATGTATCCATATTCCTCTATTTCTTCATCGATTTTTGACTTCATTTCATCGTTACAGGTGATTGATTTAAATAAAGCGGTTGCGGAAGCATTTCCAACAAATCGAAATCTTATTGTTGATGCGGAAATGCTACTGGTCGACACTAAAAGCGGCAAACCATTACCATTTGGAACAATGGGTATCCATAAAAAGAAGCAATTTACCGATGCTGTTGTTTGCTTATTCGTATTTGACTGTATATATTACGATGATCGATCTCTGATGGAAAAGTTCGTTTACATTTTGTTTGGACTATAGAAAAGTTTTTACTACTTTATGGTATAAACTACTTGGCATAAACTATGGTATAAACTACTTTTACTACTTTATTGGTAGCTTAAAAATGTTTTTTTAAATCATTTTTTAGCCGAAGAGGCCCCTTCGTTCTGTCATTCATCCTCTTTTCAAGTGAACTTGGATGCTACAATCGGCTTAACATCTTGAGAATATTTCGGTAGGACTTACTTTTTTTTCAGGCCTTTACGTGAACGTCGAAAATTTTTGGAGGAACACCTGAAAGAAGTGCCATATCGCGTTCTCCTATCCAACAGTTACCTTGTCAAAAAAGGGGTAAGTTTCGGGAGTTGTTAGTTTTAAGGGGTTTTCCTCGCTTTTGCCTTTATAGTTCTTTGTTCAATTTTGCATGGCACTAAAAAGTTTTTTCGGTTTTTTAGGAAAATGAGAAGCTAAAAGCGTTAATTTGGAAAGCGATTGATGAAGGCCTCGAAGGATTGGTAATGAAAGATTTGGATTCAGCATATGAGCCTGGTAAAAGGCACTGGCTAAAGGTACCGATCGTATTTTCGTCGTTTCTATTTTATAAGCTGCTTACCATCGCTCTCAAAATCAAAATCTTTTCGTATTCGCCATCTCTGAAAAGTGGAGACATTCGAAAGCAGCCGGAGTGAAAATATAAGCCAGAAGAACCACCCAAGACAGTCGATGGGCCCTGCCTTTCGAAGATTGCTTACAAGCAAGCTGATGACGGGTGTGATTCCCCAGTACCAGTTTATCACCGGAATAAGTGAACAAATTTTAGGAAGGGGGAGGGGGAGCACTTATCCTCCGGGCGGAATCGAACCTCGACTTTCAGCACAAAAGCACTTCCTTCTCTCCCCTCTCTCTCTCTGATTTCTCTTTCTTTTGCATATCCGTCTTGCAAATTAGTCACATGACTGTTCAGCACGTGACGGGTAGAAGGCTGTACTGATGGTTCTCGCTCCTATCCGCATACATAGTTCGGTCTGTGTTTACAGCTAAGGGATGAAATACAGACTGCATCGGAGAATGTCCTCCGGCACATGACACTTAAGTCCAATCCTTCTATTCTGCTATTTATTTATCACTCGAGTACTGGCCGAAATGGACAAAGAAAGCTCCCTGAATTCAAGATTTCGGATTTAATGAGTGAACCGAAATATTTCTGCTCATCTAATTTTTTTTTTCATTATTTTACTGTAACTTTATTTTTTATTTAGTATAAAACCTATTAATATAATTTTTTGTTTTCTAGAGATCATAACATCTCTGATCGGTTTTAGTGGCAAAACTTCCCTTTGATTTCAGTTCCATTTAATTTCTTATTAGGAAAAGTGTGTATTTATCTTATTAAGCAAAAGTATAGGGTAAGACTCTGCTGAAGGAATTGCATTTTATATTTGCCTTTGTGAACAAAATTGGTATTTTCAGGTGAAGAAAGATTACCTTGAGGAAGGAGCGATGGCTGATACTGCAGATCTCATTGTTCTTGGTGCTTATTACGGAACTGGAAGTAAAGGTATGTTTAAAACATCGTAAAAATATCTTCAAATCCATCCGAGCATGTTTTCTTAGATTTTGAAAAGTTTTTGATCAGTTTTTTTAGGTGGCATGATGTCAGTGTTTTTAATGGGAGTTTATGACGAGAAAGCCAAAAAATTCTGCACTGTTACAAAATGCGGTAACGGCCATGATGATGCCACATTGGATCGTATTAATAAGGAGCTAACACCAAAGGTAATTTGAACATATACCACGAACAACCACGCATTTCAGGTCGTGAACCCACGTGTTAGTGATATTACTAGGGTCTGAAAATATTTCTAGGGTTTGAAAAAAAATAAAATCTGAAAATTAGCCCAGCGACTTTATTATATGTTCACGACGAAGCACCTAAAGCTCCATTGCTCTCACCGTCATAGCCAGCGTTCGTTTTTCTGCTTTCGTCAGTGTATTCAGAAATGTGATCTGAAAATTAGTCACAGATCACATTTTTTTTCTTTTCGATGAATTAAAATCTTCCCACTAATCTTGGATGGGCCAATAACGCCAAACAAACTGCTTATGTTAACACATGGAAGATTTCTGGCTCCCGTTCTGTTCCAGTCTCCAGCCAGGGATATTCACTGTTTGTATCTTTAAAACTTCTACAACACTTCTTGTAGTAAGGGTACTTTCGTCGAGAGAGTTCTAGTTTTACAGCTATATAACCGGTAATTCTTGCGATAGTCTTGACCAGTGTTGAAATCGCCTAACGTCTTGACGTTCATTTTGTCTCATGCAGGAGATTACTGTTTCAGTGGTTCTCTTATCAGAAGCACTTGGCCAGCTTTTGCCGTTTTGAGATGTCCTTGATGTATGTTGAGAATCACTATTTGATCTCGAACGTTGTCCCTCCTTGAGTGTGATGAGGTACTACTCCATGTGTGTGCACTCGTTTTACAGGAAACTTATTTTTCCGTCGTAAAAAACTTGCTTCCTCACTTACATCCCTTTTTTCCCTACTTGTTTTTTCCATGTATATTCTTTCATCGAATTCTTCAATTTCAGCTTTTTGCTCTCATATTACAGATGCAAAAAATATCTGGAAAGTTTGAGAAATTGCCATCCTGGATACAGTGTTCTCGATCGCTTGTGCCGGACTTTATTGCAATCGATCCCAAAGAATCACCTGTGTGGGAAATCAGAGGTATGCATTTGGATGAATTAGTGCCGATCGCGCTGCAGTAGCCAACTTTTTGGAAATTTTTGAGTGGCAAGCTTAAATTGGGTAGAGGGGTGACTTTATTTTCATGATTTTTTATACATATGATGAGTGGAAAAGATTTTTCTTATGCATGTTGATGAATTTTCACTTATTAAGCTTTTTTTGTGATGTGAGGAAAAATCTTCGTTCAGAACTTGTAACTCCGATGAGTCCTGCGTCACTTCTTTTTCTCTCTCTCTCTCTCTATCTTTGCTATCCCTCATCACGGGTTTAATGGTTTCTTTTTTGCCAAAGAATTGCTTAGAACCAAATTATTGGCAGATTGCCCACCCTGACATACGCCAGAAGCAATTTCCCATTGAAACAAATGAACGAATCATAGATTAGGACTGCTTATAGGACAGCAACATGCTACTTCCAAGCAGTACCATCCCTGCCAGCGTTCGACCAATCGTGGGTTTGAAAAACTTATAAAATCATGAAAATTTTCGGTTCGACTATTGTAGGGGCGGAATTTTCACGGTCCGATAATCATACAGCTGATGGTATATCAATACGTTTTCCACGTGTTACGAAAATTCGAGATGACAAGAACTGGGAAACGGCTACTAACTTACAAGAACTTAAGGTAACTTATGATTTCTTGTTTTCATTGTATTCTTAATAAATTATCCACATATAAATAGCGAATTGAAAGAGAAAAAAATGGTTGTTTTCTTCTTTCGTGATAGGAATATCAGGATTTTTCTTGCCAGGTGCTACCAAGAATACCAAGACTGCTCGGGCTTATCTATGTAAGTGATGTAACTGAAACTGTTCCAACACGCCAGGAACAGTTCTGTCAGGCTTTTCGATCCAGAACTGCAAAATTTCGGTTAATACCCACCTTGTTCGATGTATTTTTGCCGATCTTTGCTTGAAGTTAAAGTACGAGTGGAAGAGTACAGGGTTCGACCAGAATTCAGGACGAGGGATGTTTTAGTATAAGCAGTACATCCAGGAAATCAGCTCGAAATGGTTAAAAGCAAGAGGCAGGTACGGTTCTTACTCGGATACGGTACTTACTACAGATACGGTACTTACTGGACATACTTACTCGGAGATTTGAAATTAGCTACATAGGTAGTTTTTCCGATTATACAGCTAGCCAGCAACATTTTAGTTGTTTTTTTTTTTCACAGATTGCATTGTAAAATGTCTTCTTGTACATGACAGTTAAATCCAGTCCTTTTATTCTACTATTCCAGTTATGCAACTGGCAATTTCTCTGGAGGATGAAGCGTAAAATAGTTGCAAATAGGAATATGGATTTAGCAAAGAAAATTTTCAGTTTGTTGGGGCAGCTCGAATTAAAATATGTACTTTGCCTTGCCACTGATTTAAAACAGCCAGTGGCGTTTGTCCACTACAAAGTTGATTATGAAAACACTTGCAAAAGCACTCGTAATGCGTGATTTCAGAAACTGTTTGATCTGTCGAAAGCAAAATCAGATGTGAAAATCGACGACGCTGTTCCACTGTATGCAAAACACGAGCTAAACGTTCCGCTGAATGATGATGCAGCTTCGGCTTCCAGTTCGAAAAAGAGAAAACGAAAAATGACAGAAGAAAGTGCGCAGAGCGATGAAGAAGCTGCTGGCAGTGCTGGATCCGCAAATGCCAGTGATAGTGAAAAAGAAACAAAAAAATCGAAAATACCGTGCAAGTGCGTTTTTTTCAAATTAAAAATTTTGAAAAAATTTGCATAATACAATGATCATTTAGAGATAGAATATGCTATCTGATAAGATACTTTGCCTTGGGTTAGGAATATTAGCGTTCGGGGCGGGATAATGATGATCAGCATAGGTCAGGAATATTTCGAAATGATTAAGCTTTAAATCCAGGCTGCAACGCACCAAGCTTGCCGGTGCAATCATACGCTTTTGCGCTGGTCTTGCAGATCGCCAACAACGGGCATGGTTCCCGCACTGTAGTTTAACACTTGTTCTCATATTGGCTGTGTTTTGGCCTTTTCCTGCAGGAAAGGGCGTTGGCTGGAATGAAGGTGTTGCATTATGGGGCGCATGGTTCCCAAAGAAATTTGCGTGTTTTTTTCGCCGGTCTGTACGCGAGGTGTAGGCGTATTTTAATTCGGGATGGTGACACACTGGGTGGGGATATGATCCCAGAATTTCAGTCTCCCAACCTTCCTGGTTGCTGAGTTGAAAGTGGGTGACAGAGTTCACTCGTTTCCGAACACACACACATTGAAGACCTTTCCATAATATGCGTTTTGGTTTATTGTAGCAGTGCTATAGTGTTGCACAGCAAAAACACATGAAAATGTTTCGGTGAGAAACGAAAACGATCTCAAAAAAAAAGAATTGCCAGCATGTGACTCACCAAGCAACGCACTGTTAGTCAACGCAAATTGAAAAATTACCAGTTGGTTAGTTGGAGAGGAAGAGTATGGCTTGCGTCTAATCCAAGTACCAAAGTATGCATCTTATTAAATAGAAGAATAGAAGGATTTCACTTGAATGTCATGTGTATGATGACATTATTAAAGTTTTAAAGGCACGAGCAAGTAACACTCAAGTTTTAAAATTATAGATATGGTGAGAAGTGTTATCGAAAAAATGAACAACATCGCAAGCAATATTGGCATCCAGATTGACAAAGATTCTACTGGAAAAAACTGTTACAACTGCTCTGCTGTAATTGATATCAAAGTTTTAATATTTCTAAAAAAAAAAAACTCAAATTCTTATTTTCTACAATTTGTGCTTTACTACAACGTAATTTGTGGCATAGTCCGTTTATCGCTATCAATGGCTTCACCTTATTTTGGCCTCAGCATTTTACCCCGTTGTCTTGCCCCTTCCCCCCCCTTGGCGCTGCAGGCTGATTACTTTGATTTATTTCCAGTAATGCAGACGTGCGCAGTAACTGAATTTGAAATTTTACATGCGCGGAAAATATCCCTGCAGAGTTTTAGTTTTCTATCTTGTTCGGATCACGAAATCGTTTCTCGCCAAAGAAATTTGTGTATTTTTTTTTGGTAATCCTAAATTGGACCACTTTTTGCTTTTGGAAGCAATTTTAATGCTTTTTTTCAGTTAACTTAATGCTTATTTGACTAAATTTTTTGTCTTTTTTAACGGGCTTTTTTTGCATAACCTAACGATGTGGTTACCAGTTTCTTGTTTGAATTTTTCTCCCACTTGGATATTCTTGGATTTAGATAATCTTGATAATGCCCTTTTTTATTTTACTTGGATAAAAGTGCGATCCTCACTTGATACTCTGGTTGCTTTACTCTTTAGCTTTCTTATTGTCTTTATGCTTATATCTGCTAGATAAAATCGTGATGCATAATTCAAAACCACTGCAGGACCAGTTTTTTTCAAAAACTTATGAAAAACTTTTTTACCATTCAAAAAAATGAAAGTGGAATTCTGTGATTAGTTGCTCCGCTTTTGTTATTTTCCTCACCATGTTGATTTTTTGATGTGTAATACAAAACAAATTACTAGCTGAATGCTGGCTTTCAACACCAATTTTCATCTGTGAACGCAAAATCTGAGCAGAACTGAAGGGCCTACCATAGCTGCGCTCAGTGTTTGCAAGCATCTCAGTAACCACTCTGCTGATTGCGGGGAGGCGGGGGGGCGGGGGGAGGGGGGAAGGGAGGAGGTGGGGGTCTGTAGTATTCTTGGTGTAGAA